TACAGTTGAAAGGAAAAAAGAAGCTCTAAATTTTGAAGACAGGAATGCTTTCTGCAAGGATTAAGAAGAATGGAAAGGGAATTATTCAGAGCCTCTGCTTGAACAAAAGGGAGAGCACACTCTTGGAAGCAAAATTTACCACATATATGGACCATATATGTAAATAAGGAAGATGGTGATTTTCTGCTCGTTTAGAAATAACCAATGTTGGTACAAACTGAATGACTAGGGCTTGCAGCAATTCACAGAGTAATGGTAATAAACAACATGGAAAAGAAAAATTCATTATTAGGCTATGTGGGCCTAGAGGAAATTTTCCTACCAGTGAATATTAAAAGAGAAACTTGAGGAAAAAGCTAGGAAGAAGACAAAAGAAAATGGAGACAGAAAAGCTCATCGCATGCATCTACACATGTTACTAATTCAAAGCAATAAACTTCAAGAGCAGTTTGAGTTGGAGTAAACATGAGATGCTGACTGTGCAGTTGTTACTGAGCACTCATTTAGTAATGACACAAATACTAAATGACTGTGCAGTAACCAGAGTTGCTGTGCAGTAGCATCACCAAACAGCGTTTAGATGACTCTGACTACACAGTAGCTCATTACTACTGGGCAGTAGTGTCACATCATGCTTCATGCCACACAACACTACTGCACAACAATAATGAGCTACTGTGCAGTCAGTGTCTCATGTAGGCACAGTCCCAGGCACAGCACCTATGCATACACCCCAGACAGCAGCAATTTGAGTCAGGGCACAGCAGTTTGGGCTGGGGACACAGGGGGTCACTTTTGGGCTCCAGGAGGTGGCACCGCGAAGTAGAGGAGTTGGCTGTGGCAAAAGGATGCTGAAAATTCAGAGCCATATAACTAGGCAGCAGGCAGGAGTCTGGACTCTTGCTACCTGGGCTGACCAGACACAATTTACGCCCATGGTCAGCATCTACATGTATGTTTAATCACAGTTAATTATCATGCCACAAGATAGTACTGGCCCCGACAGTACTCTTACAGCTGTGTTAATTCATTTACTGCAGCCTTATAGCAACACATATGTAGCCAGTGATGCTTTAGTCTGCAACTAATTAGTCTGCTCCACAGTTAAGCACATGTAGACACAGCCAATGAGTCTTATTTTATAAATGCAAAAGTTACATATGATAACACTTGAAGGTGAAACACCTGTGTTGAGGGAGAAGTGAATTGGAATGAGAAATAGTTGGTTAAAATGAGTAAGTGCCTGAGATAGTATTTCTGAGGGAACTGATAAAATGGAACAAAAAGGGATGTTGGCAACATGGGTAAAAGAAGCTAATATAAAAAATGAAGTGATATACTGTTTTATGTAACAAAACAGAGAATATTCCAATTGAGGGGGAAAAGTTGAAAGGAAGGAAAAGAAGTGAACTCAATGACTGCTATAGAGTACAAAAAGGCAAAGTGGGTAAACTGCAGATAAATGATGTAAGTTTAAAAGCCATTGCTCTGGCTATAGGATGATTTCAAATTCTAGAAATGCCAGGTAGAAAACAGCAATGGGATAATGAGGAGTTCTTGCAATGAGAAATATTTACTCCTCTGACTACTCCATCTTAACTAACAAACTACTCAGATAAGTAAGTCCTAGTCTTCATGAGTAAACACTGTTGAATCAGGCCTGATGCTGGATTTGTATTTATATGGATAGTAAAAAATGACTTCTTCTTGTGGTACACTGAACAACCACAAGATTGAAAAATCTGATAAAACAAACAACTAGGATGAGGTATATTTTTGTGTGAAGTACAGCTGAAGTTGGAGAAACTAGTACCGAAGGAAAATAATATTATTAGGTTCATGAATGTGAACCGGTTCTGAAACAGTCAAAGCACTAAAAGCTGGGGTCTAGAGATGTTTCATAAGCAATGTGATCAGTGATTGTCTTCTCAGAGTGACTATGGGCAAGTCATTCATCTGTCTGGGCCTCCATTTATCTATCTGTAAAATGGGAATAATGATACTGGTCTCCTTTGTAAAACACTTTGATGAAAAGTACTATAAAAGAGCTAAATGTTAGCATCTTACCTGTTTATTTCATTCTCACAGTGGGATGTAAAGGCAAGTTAAATAAGAAGGTTGACAGATAATGGCCAATACTCTTGACTATATAACACATTTTGCTAGCAGTTCCAAACTGAACTTACACTATTCTAAATCCCTAATTGGACTTATGCACAACCGCTTACGTTGGCCTCCTAAATAATGATGTGTGCCAGTATTGTAGGAATCAAGGTGATTAGCTGAAAACATTATTTGGCAGATTCTTAATATTATAAAACAGTCAAATCTCTAAAATTATGGACATACTATTGTATCTTCATTCATCAAATGAATCAAAGTTCTATTTGTTTTAGAGATGCATAAGCTTTCATGAGCAAAAGGTCACTTCATCAGATGCTATGAATGACATGCAGAGAACAGAAAATAGCTGTATGTCCTTTCATTGCATTTGGTGAAGTGAGCTCTCACTCACGAAAGTTTATGCATCTCTGATTCAGTTGGTCTCTAAGGTACATCTTTACCCTGCCTTCTGCTTGCCTTTGGACAAATTATCTCTCTCTAACCTGCTTTGTATTTTTTTTCAGTTTATAGGAACACACAATGGTTTTAAAAAATGGACCCTGAATTATTTTAGGTATACAAGGAGATTCATGCTTAAATAAAAAACAGAAAAGCTTTTCTTACCAATATTTAAAAGACTGAGTTACTGGCATGGCAGAAACTGTTTTTTATGAGTATCTTATAAAATGAACGAAAAAAAATGAAGAATGTCATGTGATTTTGGATGAAGGAATACTTTATTGAACAATGAACATTAGCATGTATACATATGATCTTCCATGAGGGGCTGAGAAGTTAGTGTAGCACTTCAGCATTTTGTTTTACATTCTTGGTCCTTTCCCAAGGATGTAGATGTACTTTGCAATGTCCCAGGATAAGTTAATTAATTTGTGTTAGTAATTTTCTAGTCTAGGAGTGACCAACCTATGACATGGGTACCACAAGTAGCATGGGCAGCCTCTATGTGTGACATGTGGCAGAAAGAGGGAGAGGGAAGGTAGCACCAGAGCAGACAGGGCAGAAAGCAGAAAACAGAGCAGCAGCTCTGGTGGGGAGCATAGGGCAGAGAGCAGAAAACAGCAGCAGATCAGCAGGGAGAACAGGGCAGGGGGTGGAATGCATTTAAGGTAAGGAAGGAGATTCGAGTGGCATTATGGGAGAGCCTAGGGCTTAATTTCTGGCATGCTTGCCCAAAACAGTTGGCCCCCACTGGCCTAAACTGGGACCCCCTGCAAACTAAAACAAATGATATTTAATTCCTATCTGTCAACTCAACAGTGACAAAGAGCCAAATGAAGTCTTTCCAGTCAATTGGTTTCTGTAGTATGATATTTGTCACGTGTTTGACCACAACTCTTTTGCACCTGAATTTCCAGGTGTCTTTCATCTAAGAATTAGCCAGATTTGGGACTGCTCATCTTCCAAAAATAGATGAAGGCAAGTGGTTTCACCTGACACTCTTGTGGGAGGGAGCTGGAGCCTGCTGTAAGTAATTTTTCCTTCCCTGTTTCCTGTTTATGGAGACCCACTCTAGGATTTCCAATGAAAAAGGAAGCCCACATGGGTCCCAGCATGGAGGCATAGCACCCAGGGAATCCCCAGCACCCTGGGCCTCCATGACAGGACTTGCTTACCTAGAAATCTGGGGGCACATCTGGGTAAGCAAAGGAACCTGACTTTCCCCACTTACTCAGATGAATCCTAGAGAGGCATCTGAGAAAGTAGGGAAAGCCAAGCAGGTGCTTCCAGGGTTTGAGGGGCCTGATTCTGTGTGGGAATTCCCAGGGTGCACAGGACTGTGCCCCCCAAGCTCTTGGAAAACACATCACCTGTTGTCTCGCAGCATCAACAGACACATTGCAGGCACAGTTTATCTGCTTCATGTGGTAACATCTTTTTCTAGCCTTAGTTTCCTGTATGCTAACTGTCCCATGTGAATAGCCCTTCAGTTTTATCAGACCAGCAGTTAAATCAAATAGACATCATGATATCTTGCAGCTCTGCCAGAATTTCAAAGCAAGGTGTTACCCACACTCATTAACTAAGCTTCTAAGTGTTCAGACATGGTCTAAAGGCACAGCCTGTCAAAATGGAAATAGAATGCAAGCTTAGATTACTGCAAAAGTGAGCATTATTTACTGTTACATAAAATGAATAAGTAATTTCTAGAGACTAAATATGGAAATTCAATCTGAGAGTTATGAATCAGCTAATACAATTCACTCATGAATAAAATAAACAAATTGGCTGTCTACATTTTAGACCCATTGAAGGTGCCTTATACAAACAAAACTCCCATAGATTTGGGTTATAAACAGACATTGCATTTGTCCCAGGACAAACCACTTTATCCCAGGACAAAGTGCAATCATTCACATGTCCACATGTGTTGTCCCAGGATCCATCCTAAAAGGGTTCATGGAATGACGTACTAACAGTTTATCCTGGGACATTGCAAAGTACATCTGAATTGTTACCCTGGGATTGCATCACTGAATCAAGGACAAAAAAGTACAGTGCATTCAACTATTCACTAAACCCTGATTAGAAGGACAACATGAGTACATGCCAATTCTGAGATATTTCTGTTCCAAGATAAATGCAGGCACTTGTTCAAGGGCAAATGTGACATCTGTTCCTAGCCAAAGAGTGTTCTTTGTTTGCATTTATGCACATATACCTGTAGTACATTCAGAAAGCAAACTGAAAACACAAAGCATAAATGAAACTAAACCAAAATACATACTGATTACTAAGTTCTCTTATATCAGATGCTCTGAAGCCCCATTTCTTAGCCAGTTGCTCTTGCTGGTCAGTTTGTTCCAAAAATGCAATCTATAAAGAAAAAAAAAGAAAGAAAATCAGTTAATGATTTTTATATTGCATTTCAGTACAGCTAATGTTGTGTGTATATATGAGAACTCATAGTCTGCAGCACTGTATTCTTATTAAATGTACACTCCATTATAGCAGAAATGAGCTAGTATTAAAATACTGGTTCTTCTGACTATGGATATCTAAATGCTTCCTTGTTGTCCACTAAATGATTCAACCTGTGACTTCAGTTGGAAAGTGAATTCAGGTAATCTACACGCATAAGAAGTCCATCATTATTTCACTGGCAGAAGTCCAGCATCCTCCTTCACTCATTATAAAATCTAGCGTACCAATTCTTCTAGTAGTAACAGAGTTCTCAGGTTACAGCTGTATAGTAGCCTAATGGAATATATAGTTACAATGTTCAGAAACATAAGAGTCAAAATAATGTACTTGTGTACGACCAATATGCAGTCAGATATTCTCAGTAATTGTTCATACCACCTCTATATTTTATTTAAATTAGGTAATGAAGATGTAATTAGAAACTAAGAGGAAAAATTATGATAATCTAGTGGCTGAGCTGAGTGGAATGGCATAATTCTCAACAGGTCCTTGTTTGCGCCATTATTCTCTGATCCAAGCCCCAGGTTTGCTCTTGATCCTCAATGGATATTAATTTTGTATCTGTCAAGTTTGTTTTCTATCATACACAATGATGACAACTCTCAGTGCTCATGGATGTCAGGCTATTTTATGTTTTTCTTAAATTCACAGATCTCGGAGTTATGTGTTAATGTGAAAGTTCAGGTTTCACTAAGACAGAAATGTATTTCAGAACATTTTGTTTGTGGAGAAGAGTCAGAAGTCAGAAGCAACTTTAAACCCCCCCTAGATCCAATATTCATCATGATCTCTTTAAATCTTCTGATACTTAAACAAATGTTATTACTTTTAGGAGCCTAATTTATGATACTAGAATGCCAAGGATTCCACACGTGCCAATGGCCACATTATATTTACTTATGAAACAAATAGATGAATCCAGACAAATAAAGACAAAAAAGTAACAGACAGAGAGAAGATAAGGTTAGTTCAACAAGTATATCCACAAAACATACCCATTATTTGTATTAAAGTTATTTTTGTATATATAATTATATATATTAAGGACCCTACAGGCCCTGGTCAGGATCAGGGTTCCATTTTGTTAAGTGTTCTATCAAAACAAGGCACATACACATGCATTTACAGCACCTGAATAACCCGCGGAGCTTATTGCTCCAGAGTTGATTGCTCCCGGGTGCACCATTTGAACATGCACCCAGAACAAATAACTCAGGAGCAATAAGCTCCACAATTTGTTCAGGCACACCACGTGGACCCACCCAGGGTGGCAAAGCGCTCTGGGGGTCAGTCTGCCAGCCCAGGGCTCCTCCCCCCAGCTCAGTGTGCTGCAGAGGGGGCTGGTTAGGACAAGAGGGAGCTTCAGTATGGGGCTAGGTGACAGGCAGCCCCCACATTGAATCACTCCCATGCCCCAGTCAGCCGGTCAGCATCTACACGTACACTGCTGAGCATGAAAAAAACTCCATAGCAGGGTAGTACTTGTATTTACAAGTACTATGCTCCTGCAGAGTTTATTATTTTCATGTGCCCTAATAGGGGTGCATGTGTAGACACAGAGACATTTACTGTGCAATAAATTAGTCAATTGTACAGTAAACATCTCATGTAGATGCACCCACTGGGCACAAAGATAATCCTGTCCCAAAGACCTGACAGTCTAAGGACTTGTCTGAGCAGTGTTTCTGTTTAGAAACCAGTGGGTACATCTACACAGGCCGTTATGGTGCCGTTTTTACTGCGCCGTCATTTAGTACTTCGTTTTGATGTATTAACCTTTTATAGAAGCAGAAATTTGGCTGCCATAGTTCCCCTGCTTTACCTATGGCAGGTTAAGGTGTTATGTCTTGTGTTGCGTCAGAGTTGATGGTAGTTTTACAGAGTTTAGCTTATGGATTTGTATAGGATGGTTTGGGTAGAGATGAGGGTGAGGGAAAAGGTTAGACTAGATGACCTTTGGAGGTTCCTTCCAATCCTACTTCTCTATAATTCTATGATTTAATGATCTTTATGCTGGCATAAATGTATTAACCCTATGGGAGTTGTTATCAATATTTAAACCAATATAGCTATAGTAATACAAAATTCTGTGAAGATAAGCTATAAACAAGATGTAACTGAGATACAGCAAACATGTATAGTCTGCTTACATTTTTCACTCACAAATAAACTTACCAAGGTTTAAAAGAGAGAGGTAGATTGTTGTGTTAGTCTGAAGTTACTTACAAAAGCTTATGCCTCCACACAAACCACATTTTTAAAAATGCATTAAAATTATTTGAGACCTTAGCATCCTGCTTTAATATAAATATTTACTATCAATAACAATATTAACTAACTATAAGAATAATATAATTATAATAAAGTAACAGTCACAAATAATAATCACAAAAGACATGGATATTTACATAAAGCAACATCTTTTTTCAAAAAAAGCAGGGGCATGTTTAGCATGTCCAGCAAGTTCAACAACTGAACAGTTAAAGCTGTTTTATAATACAGTCTAACCAAAATTTGTGCCAATCAATAAAGTAAATGTCAGAGAGCTACTGGAGTCAAAATGGATGTGGAATGACTAATTATGGCTATCGAACAAAACTAAGTTAGAATAAAGAGAGACAAGCTTGAAATACCAGATGGCAAAGGCTGGAAACAAACTTGTTGCTATGGAAAAGAGTGAATATTTTAGACTCTTAGAAAATCGTTATTCAAGTTATGTTGAAATGGTTCAGTTCTGAAACAACAAAAAGCCACTCTGGAATCAGTCATGCAATATACCTTGATATATCATACAGTCCTTACAGAGAAAAAAATCAAACAGTAAGTTAAGGCTAAGTTAGGGCTAAGGGAAAAGTTAAGACTTGAAATGCACTGAAAGCAGAGTGAGTTTAGGCTCTCATGCTTCCCAGGAATGATAATCTAGGTCACTTAATGTTCAGAAATATGGGCTGATGCTATTGACTCAGATATACATATCCTCCAAAAAGTCCTCTACACAACTTGAACATATATTTAGCTGCCTTCAAGTCCTATATGTCCAAGATGTGACATCTGTGTTGGCAGTCCCTTGGCCACAAATGAGCAGTTCCGTGCCTTGGACAGTGGCAGAGCATAGGCCATAGCTATTTTTGTGCCCTTCCTAAGTTGGCACCTGAGGCTGGTGTCCCAGTTATCCCCTTCTTGGTCACACTACTGCTATGGGTCAGAGCTTTCATTGCTTTATATTTTGCATAATCACTTACATAGTGGGCGCATCTACACATGCAATTAAGGCAAAGCAATAAACTCCAACACATATGCACTAGAGTTTATTGCTCCCAGGCACCACGTTTACACGTGCAACTGGGATCACAGCACATTAAGC